CAAGACTCTGTCAGGAGATATTCGAAAGTCACAATCTACAGAACTTCAGGCTACTAAAAAATATTTGGAAAATATGCAGCAACATGCACCATGAAGGAGCACTGTATGAAGACATGGAGGTTATATGATGATAATGTTTATTAATAATAATAATAATAATAATGATAATAATAATAATAATAATAATAATAATAATAATGATAATAATAATAATAATAATAATAAATATTGTAAATGCCATACTTTTCAGAACTACTTACGACCAAATATAACGGGTTTATTCACTGGAACTGAAACACACACAAGAGATTTCAGCAATACGAAATGATGCAAGTGTTTGAACATCCCGCACATAAACAACAAATCCATAGGCAGAAATCAATGAGTTTAAAAAAGTAATACAGCAGGCAAAAATAAATCCAATGCATCATTATTGGGTGCATCGAGCCAAGAATGACAATAGTTGGTGTACAACAGATCCAATTAGTGCCAAAAGATAATTGGGAATTAGGTAATTAGACATGCATACTAATTAGGCAGGTGTTTTTTTAATTATCTTTGTCTTTTTTTTTTTTAAATCTTCTAATTTCTGTTTAAATAGTTCCCACATCCTACCTGTTTCAGTACTAGTAACAGCTTAGATCGTTGCTAGTAAATTTATCTGACACAGCTATATTCTATAAAGACATCTATCATTAAACTAATGATAAATATAGATAAAAGCCCTAAAATTGACTTTTTGTTTTAGCTCTCAAAAGAAGCATAAAATAGGTAGATAGGTAAGTATGACTGTCTGATTTAAATAATCTAGTAACAAAAGTATTTCAAGGGTGTAGTAAACTAAACTGGAAGAGTTTTAAGATTATTTAATTTCCCCCTTTTTTGAATTTTAAACTCATCTTAAAACTATCCCAGTTCAGTCTTGCAATTTTTTTAATATATATTTAAGCATTTGGATGTTGGGTTATTTTTCTAAAACCTGATTGATAATTAAAAATAACAAAAAAAAAAAAAAAAAAAAAAAAAAAAAAAAAAATGTAAAATAAAGAAAAGAATGTGCTGTTACTAGTAAATGAAATATGTAGTGAATGTGCCTGTGAATTCTGTAAATTTCATTTAGAAGAGGAAAAAATTTGTTAAAAGAATTTTTAAAAATAATTACCAATTAAAATATCTTTTTTTTTATTTTTAATATAATCTTGCGTAAAAAAAAAATGGTAAATACTTTTGATACTTCTAACCAAAACATTATTTTTCATATGCGAAAAAGTTTAAATGAAAAATATTAAAATAAAATAATAGAAAAATAAAAAATAGCCTTTCCAAGACTTTTCAGCTTTTTTTTTGATTACCTAAATAAATCGAGTGCAAATTTTCAACCTTCCTCCAGAAAAAAAAGGTAACACTGATTAAATAAAAGCAATATCAAGAGCTATCTCATGTGAAAAGAAATGATCTAGTTTTTATTGCAGAAATTCCTGAACAGTAAAAACAGAAAAGAAGACACTCTTTAGTCCTTAATAGTTCAGCAGATTTTATTACTTAAAATCACCTTTAGCAAGAATATGAGACTTAATTATATTAAAAAAATAATTTTTTTTTAAATATTTTGTTTTGGATAAGGCCATGAGTATGAGGCACCCAGTGGAGATTGAACTCATTAACCAGTGGTAATAAACAACAAGACTAGCTCTCTAATATTATCCCATGCCTTTTGCATTCATGTCAAAATATAACTTTATGTTTGCAAAAAATCAGGCATTTCTTTTCAGAAACAATTTTTATAGTTTATTAAAATAGATAAATCATGATTACATAAATTACTAAGATGCATACTGTCAAAACCTTTGATACTAAATAATCAAGCATTATAAAAGACTGAAATTTATTTTGATAAAATATTTTTTTTTTTCATCAAGAAAAAAAATAAGAAATAGTTTTAACCATATTTTTAACAGCAAAATACTAAATGTACAGGGCAAGTTTAATATTTATCATGCATTTATTTTATTTTGAGAAAAAACTTTTCACTTGGATTTTACAAACAGATCTGATCTATAATCAGAAATGGCAATTTATAATTTCCAAATTTTTTAACAAATAATTAAAATATGCCCAAGATTAAATAGCATTTTCAGATGATTTTATCTCATTTTTCTCAAGAAAATCAATTATCATCAAAGGTTTGTAAGATGTGTTATACTCAATGATAATATTTTACTTATCATCTCTGAATAAAATCATCATTAAAATTTTAATGCATTTATGAATATCAACAGTTCATAGCATTTTTAAAATTTCATAAAGCTACAAATTTATCAAAATTCTAAATAATTTGAAGCCAGTATTTATACAAAACTAAATGCATTTTGTAAGAGCAGGTTAAATCATATTCCTAGAAAAAGGGAAAATTAAATAAAGATTGAGACATATTTTGATATATATTTGTACATAAACACACACACACACATTTGTACACACACACACACACAAAAGTGCACAAATACACAGAATAAGAAATTATTTACTGATATAAATTACAATTTCTACATTAAAAAGTAAACTACTCATAGAATTCGAGAAAATCAATTTATATTATGTTATATATAACTATATGAAAAGAAATAAATGGTTTCTAGATGGCAAAGATGGTATCCAAGGCATGAGAGAAAACTGGTGAATAGTTTAAAAAGCTTCAATCAACTGTTAAAGGAAAGTTTGAAATAGATTTTTGTCAGCATGAGATAGCTTTGGCTTGACTTTTATTTCCCAGTGAAAATAAAATAGCACTAATTGGACCTGCAGACCAAAAGTAACCCACTCATCTTGACCAGTATAAAATTGCACACACTTATTGTAGCTGGGCTGAAACAATTTCAAAGACAGGCAGGCAAACTCTACAGAGGATACTTCAGTACAATATTAGATCAGCATATCTGTATTCTGTTTTAAAGCATTGCTATATATATATATATATATATATATATATCGAATGCTTAAAGGCTGGGAATAAATATTAACTCAATATTATTTTTTTTATCCATATAATGAAAGTTAAAATCCTGAGTTTAGTATATCAGTTCTTAAGAAAAAAAAAAGAAAAGAAAAAAATAATGAGGTGGGTGCAAAGAGATCAGTGAGTAAGAAAAAAAAAAATGGATAAAAATATAATATTGAGTTGTTCAAAACTCCAGGGCATGGAGGATATATTTTCTTGGAATCTGTTCAATACAGATACTAAATTCATAATGACTCATGTTTCCATTCTTTATCTTTCATTTCATATTTACTTTACTTTTCAAAAAATTCCGATTCTAATATTGCATGAAAAATGAAAAGAAGAAAAATGAAAGGAAAAACACCATCTTTCATCATTTTGAAACCAGGTTCTTTCTGAAAAGAAAAAACCAATTTCAATATGATTTGATTTTTTTTTTTTTTTTGGTATATAAATCTTTTTTTTTTACAACCTATTTTCCAGTCATTTTCATTCTTTCCGTTAAAAAAAAAAGTGAAATTGTCTCAGCAAATGCAAAATATCCCTCCCTCCTTATGTCAAAAATATAAAAAAAAAAGAAAAAAAAAAAAAAAAAAAAAAAAAAAGAAATATGCAACAAATGCAACATCTTCATTTTCTTTGTATTAACGAGCAAATGCATCTAAGTGTCCGCATGTACCGACCCGGACGATTGGACCTGAAGTCCGCACGATATCCAATGACATTCACATCCCAAGAACCATAAGTACGGTAGACATATACATACATGTATAGAAGATTGGTGCAAGCAGGCACAAGACAACACACCCATCGAGCTCAACTACTAGAGATTACCAAACGTGTTCAGGGAGATTTTTTTTTTATCTCCAGCTCAAACTTTCAAAAAAATAAAACATTTAGCCCAAATTACATGCAAATGCTACAATATGTAAGGAACATTTCAGATGAGACATGCTAATCAAGACAGGCTATGATGATGATGAAGTTTGTATTCTTGTGTTTGTGTTATGATATTATTGTCGTAGGAATTTCATAGGGAGAATATAGACAAAACGAATTTTTTTCGTTTTGATTTTTTAGTTTCTTAAAACCTTCATATGCAAAACACATTTCTTCTACTCTGTGTTGTTAAAGGAATTCCGACTAATATTTAATGAGGTTCTTGTTATAATTTTCTCATCCTACTTTTAAATGCATTTTGCATTTTAATTTCAACAATAAAAATGGAAGGTTGTGAGGAAACTCCCAAATAGAATGATTGGCAGCTGTAGAGAAGCATGCAGCTTTCTCACACATTTTAGTTCCTACTAGAGGCTGGAGATTCTTGTGTATTTTCAGAAATGAAAAAAAAATTTCACGGTTATTTATTAAAACAGATATAATAGCAACAATAAAAAGGTAAACTATCTGAATATTCTGACTTCATTTGATTTGAGATTTTGTTAAAAAGAATTTTAAAATATTGAAACAAACTTTAGAGAAAAGAAGATGAATATTGCTTCTTCACTTCTCTAATACCAAAGAAATATCTTCAGTGAAACTGGAAACCTGGATTGACAATTCTCCAACACTGATCAAAATGTGTAATGAAATTTCTGATTATTAGTGTAAATGAGGCTATCTGCCAGTGATATAATTTATATATAATCACAGGAATTGGTTCCAGATGTTTGATAATTGAGGATGATGACTGCTAAACATTCTTGTAGGAACCATTGATAAACTGAAAGATATGAAAAACTATTTTTGTAAGAAAAGAAAATGTAAATGAATGCTATGGAAATAACCTATTTTGAAAAGGTTCTGAAATATGATGATGATGATAATGATGATGATGACAACAATGATGATGATGATGATGACGACAGGAAGACCATAATGACTGTATTAGTGGTGTCTTGTGTGTGATGCATTTGTATGTATATGAGGCGCACATGTATGTGTTTGAAGAAAAATTGATAAATTAGCAATGGGATGGACTGGGTTACAAAGGCAGCATTACCTCCAGGGTTTGTCATCACTTGGATTTCATCTGAGAGAGGACCTTGTCCAGCACTAGAGAATGCTAAAATGTTTATAGTGTACGTGCTGTTAGTTTTCAGATTGGTAAGGGTAGCCACCCGTTTCTGACTATCAGTGTGAGTCTTATGATCCCATAAGATGATAGGTAAGTCTGGATTCATAGTGTAGAAAATTTTGTATCCCTGTGGAACAAAAGAAAAACAGAAAAATATTACAAATACAGTATATATCATATCATTTTTCATAAATTACAAAGACAGTATACATTATTATATAAATTTTCTAAAAGAAAATAATGGAAAATATTCTAAAACAAATCAGGTAAGATTTTTATAATACTTCAAGCAAGTAAATATATATTCAACAAATAAACTGAAAATATTTTCTGTATTTTCACAATAGAATTTTAGAAAAACATTTATACAAACAAATTAAATACACAGTTTTAATATTCCTTCATCCAAATCATATTAGCTTATTTAATATTTTATTTGATGTTTTATAGCTTTTGCAATGCTCCAACCAAAGGATTTCTGTGTTACTAATGAATGAAAAAGGAAATAATTCACCTAACAAATTACACCTAAACTAAATATTGAGACAGTAATTATTTTGCCTTGGTCATTTAATAATGGTCATATCAAAAAGTGTAAAATCAAAATCATTAGACCATCCAAACTGCAATTGAGAAAATTACAAACAAGTTATAGCAAAAATATACATTAATTATTCTATCATAAAAATAAAAAAACAGTTACATAAAAACATACTAATTAAGTAATAACAGTATGTCATTGGGTTTTGAAAAGTTCTCAATCCAACCAAGCGGGAATTACAAAATTAATTCAGATGTTTATTCATTTAGTCATATTTTCAGAAGTTGGTCAATCCAAGAACTTTTCAGCATCCTCTCATAATCATACAAAAGGTGTAAACTATAGACTTTTACTAATTATTAAATGGTAATATTATAATATACTAATTATTATTTTAATACAGTATGTGTACCCGGCATCTTGGCTTCAGTCCCTTTCCCACCACCTTAACATAGTTCTCTGTGCCTTTTATATAAATACCATCTTGGTAACTGGCTTGATGAACTTTCTGCTATGGTACCTAGACTATGAATTTAAGCACAGTACCAGACTGGCATCAAGGTCTCATTATTTAACAGTTGAAAATGTAGCCATAAGTCTTATGCTGACAGTTTTTTCTATTATACTTCTTCTTTGTGGAACACTCTTTTGGATTCTTGTTTCCCAGTCATCTTTGATCTTCAAAAATTTAAATGTAATGTCAAGCGTTATCTACTATCTTCTTAATTCTTGTTCTTTTAATGTTCTCTCTCCTTAATAGTGTTTTTTTTCTCTTATTCTCTAACACTCAGTAACCTCTTGCATCTTAATGGCTTTAGTGCCTTGCCTGGGGTGAAATAATTAAAAAAATGTACATGATTAATGATTATATATATATATATATATGTGTGTGTGTGTGTGTGTGGACACTAAATGGTGAGGTCTATTTCATGCTTCAATCCAATTCCCAGGCCTGAATATTGCATTGAATCATGAAAAAGACTGTCACCACATGGTGTTGACCTCAGTGTCCATTTTTATATTCACATACACTATCTCTTATATTGAGCAATTTTATCCATAAATGTAGCATACCTTAAAACTATATATATATATATATATATATATATATATATATAAGCAAATATATGGATATAAATCCGACAGTATGAAAGAAAAATACAGAATTTACTTTATAACGTGGAAGACTTCAAGCTTGGACGAGAATAATAGAATCTATTGATCAAGTAAGGAATGGATTTATTATCGAACTGTTTTTTAGAACTGTTCCATCGTTTTTTGAAATCATTTTTGATTTGCCTTGTAACGGAAGGACTTCAAGCTTGTTGAAGAAATTAGAACCTATTGATCACTACGTATTCCGACATCAACGGAAGAGATTTCTTGAACTGTTTACACAAAATTTTTCAATCGACTTTTTAATATTTTAATTTTTTGGAAATCATCTTGAATACGTTTTAATAACATGCCCACGTGGCGACTACGTGATCATATTTAAACGGAACGCTGATCTGTATAAAATTTCAGTTATCTGTTTGGATCAGTTGGGCTCTTATGTCCATCGTCTTTTGTGTTAAATTTTTATAAGTTCTAATGTTAATCATGTTTAAATGAAAATGTCCATGAAGATGGTCTTAAATAGACCGAAACGTCCGACGTCGACTTTATTTTAACATTAATACTACATAATTGCATATTCAGATTTTTTGTTTTTCTGTATTTTTCTTTCATATATATATATATATATATATATATATATATATATATATATATATATATATATAATCAACTGGAGCAGCTGGTTATAAAAACATCCATAACAAATTAATAGGCTATTAAATGCTGTTAAAAATTCAGATTTTTAAAATGAAAAAAAGTAATTCTTCTGAGATGACTGTTTGATGCTGTTTCATAAAGATTTTAGAGAATGAAGTTAAAATGAATGGCAGCCTATCATGATTAGGTTATAGGATTAAAAGCTATACTTTGCATACTTGTGTTTTAAATCTTAGAGAAACAACATGAAAGGCAAAAAGTTATTTACAAAAAACAAAAATAAAATATGCCGCATTTCTATTTTTCTTGGTGCATCACCACAAATGTTTAAAAAAAAAGAAAGCTTTAAAACAATATCAATTTATTGCTTGAGGTTATTTTTTTCTTAAAAAGAAATAAAAAGATATATTAACACAAATTATATCTAATGGAAAAGTATACGCTGGAGATATGAACATTTATCTAAAAAGAATAAAGTTGTGGCTTTTTAATCTGCATTTCTTTTTCTGCAAGGTTAAATCAATACTCAGATATTATTATGTTAACGCTGAAGCTATCACAGGGAGGCTGTCTGTATAAATAATATTAAGCATGACTAAAAAGATAATATATATATAATTTTGACTAAGTACAAAGTGATATAAACTCAACAACAACAGGGGCATGTTTACAAATTGGTTCCATAATCAAAAAGTAATGGGTTAATAAAAAATAAGAAAAATTAAGTTGAATTAACTCGGACATATCTGTATTTTTTTGTATAAGTAAATAGACTTTGAAAAGATTCTTTATAATTATACAAATTTACTTTCTGCATCAAGAGCTTCCTTGATTTGAACATTGCTGAGATAGATTGTTAGACACTTTAAATAAGATTTCAATTAATCATGTCTTCTGTCATACGAGACACTGGTTCCCTGAGAGGTTTGAAAATGTATATGTATTTTAAGATTAAGATACCCATTTTTCATTGTACAGTCAGAGGAAAGAGATGAAAAGAAACTAATTAGGACTTCCATACCTATAAACAAATTAAAAAGGAAATAGCAGAACTAATTGGTTCCAACAAATTAATCAAGTGAAAGCAATCCATAGGATCAAACCAAAACTTGTAGTTGACTAGGTAGACTAAGTATAAACTGAGTGCACACCACCCAATCCTTACAACCACTTAGGTGAGCTGGGAAAAGGACAAGTTCACTACTATCTAGATGACAAGCCTTAGGTAAACCTACCCCAAGAAAACCCGTAAAATTTGAATCTTTACCTAAAATATTAAGCAAACTGATGCTCTTCTTAGGATACCAACCAGAAAAATTAGATAAATGAATTAAGTTAGCTGACCTAAATCAGGTTCAACAATATTCTGTCAAAAAGAACAGTACTAGTGAATGTCAGCTTATTGGCGAAATGGAAAATCAGACTCAACAAGAAGGTATATTGGTTTGTCAGGAGAAAAAGATAAAGTTCCCATATATCTCGCCTGCACATAGCCAAATCAACACAGTTCCAGAGGAGAGACAAGCCAGCCAGGATAAAGTATTGTCATGGAGTTACAGTGGTCCTCTTACAGAGGTAAATCATCACAGGATATGACATGGAACAATTTTAAATTCTTCATTCATTCCTTGAATCCATTCTTTCTTTTTTTATCAGAAGATCTCAATAGATCAATCTTCATAACACTGCTAAAGAAATCAGGGACAAATCAACGGAAACTATTAGACAATCATTGATGAGCCACATCGCTAAATTAATAGTTAGGATTCTAATGAATAGAGCTTATAGCAGAGTTTGGTTGGAAACATGGCAAAGAAGTGTGGCCTTGTTCAAGAGACTGAAACAAGAAATGAAACATTTATTATCAGAATGTTGTAAGAGCAAGCAACACAAGTGCAGAAGAAATGATATGTGTTTCTTAAATTACAGAAATTCATTTGATATATTACAGCACAAAGATGTCCTTTAAATGTTACGAAAGATTTATTTCTATAGTAAAGATGTTTAAATAATCTGTAACTTTTAAATGTTAACAAAGAACTTGCATGAGAACAAATTCAGTGAATACACAAAAATAGAAAAGAATATGAGAAGGATGTGTTTTCTCACCAGATTTATTCCATCTGTACAGTGATGATTCTAAGAGGACTAGAAAACCTATTAGGAATTTATTACTGCCAGAAATAATCTTAACAACCTACACTACACAATTGACTGTGTTGATAACAGATTCAGAAAGAAAAATAAAGAACTCTTGGGTGAGGCAATTGAGGAAAGCAAGAAGAAAGGACAATTAACTGGAAGAAGACAGGACTGAATGGTTGTCTGTAAAAGAAGATGCAAGTTATATATTTGAGATGTTCAAATCAAGTAGATGCATAAATTTAACTATGTGGATAGTGTTGTAACAGACGATTGAAAGTGCGACAAAGAAATTCAAAAGTGAATACAAATCAGAAAAGATGCCTTTCAGAGACCAAGTAAATATTAAGGGATGGACAGTTTCCTCACAAATGAAAAATAGAGCACTGACAGAAACTGAGAAATGAAGTTTTAAAATGATTGATAGATTTATTTTTTATGGCTTATCAACTCTTCATGAGTTATTAAAGCCAAAACATATTTAGGATTATAAAAATAATTCTTTATTGCAAGTGTATATTGCATTAACAATTCTTTTGAGAATGACAATGGTTTTTCCAGATACAAGTTCTACTCTTTAAGAAATAGCTGGGAGTGGAGATGGATTCATATCTTTCCCATGGGTATTTATGTTTAAATGAATGTAAGGAACCCAACTGGAGTTCAAA